GCACTGGAGCTACAACTGAGGCGAGGGGCGTACCGGGACTCACTGGTGAGGCCGTGTCGGCAGGGGGGTGAAACCACTGTGACTGGGAGCGCCTAAAGGCCAACTGGGAGCGGGTAAAGGCCAACTGGGAGCGGGTAAAGGCCAACTGGGCGCGTGCTTCCCTACAGGAGGGCAGTGAATACATGCAGTACCTCCGGCAGAGTCACCACGAGGCCCTGAAGGAGGAGGAGAGGAGGTACCGCTTCCTAGCTGAGAAACACTGCGGCCTCACCCAGTCCCTGCTGTATCTCATCAGCAAGGTAACACACACACACACACACACACACACACACACACACACACACACACAGGCACCGCCAACGCTGCTGCTGTCAGGGGGCAACTAATGGAAAGTGACCCGTGTCCCAGACAGGGGGCGCCCTCCAGCTGAAGGCAGAGGGCTGGAAGGAGTTGGTGAACGAGACTCGGGGCTCGAGGCCCCGCACCCCCACCGCCCTTGACCAGGGTGCAGGGGTAAGGGCCGTGGCCGTACTGGAGGAGGAGGCTGGACCTCTGGGGATTCATTCAGCTGACAAGGAATGCTTACTTCCGTTTTAGCGGCAAACCTCTGCGGGTTCTTTCCTGAGTGTGGGAGTGAGAGAAGAGGACAGAGGCTGGGCTGGCAGAGAGGAGCAGCCACTTGGCAGAGTGCCCTCACGAGGTGGGAGGACTTTACTTATTTTGTGTCTCGTAGACTGTCAAGCTTTTTTACTTCCATCACTCGCTCTTTCCCTCTATCTCTAATTTCACTTTCCATTCCTTTCTCCATCCTTTCCTTGTCCCTCTTTATCTCTTTCTCCTATCTCTCTCATCGTCACCCCGTCTCTCTCTCCCTCTTACCATCAGTCTCCGTTTGTTTCCCCAGTCCACTCCCTTGTCCTTCTCTCCCTCTCTTATCCTTCTCTCCCTCTCTCATCCTTTTCTCCAGTATTCCTCTCTGCTTCTTTCTCCATTCTTGTGTCCCTCTCTCCATCCCTCTCTGCAGTATTCCTCTTTGTCCCTCTCTCTCTCTATCCCTCTATCAGTCTCCCTCTGTCCCTCTCTCCATCCATCTCTCCCTCCCTCTATCTCTCTATCAGTCCCCCTCTCTCCATCCATCTCTCCCTCCCTCTATCTTCTATCAGTCTCCCTCTGTCCCTCTCTCCATCCATCTCTCCCTCCCTCTATCCTCTGTCAGTCTCCCTCTGTCCCTCTCTCCATCCATCTCTCCCTCCTTCTATCCCTCTATCAGACTCTCTCTGTCCCTCTCTCCCTCCCCCTCCCTCTCGTGACTGATCCTGTGTTTCTCCCCGCCTCCCACCCCGCAGCGCCCTCCCCGGTCCCCAGCCGCTCGCGCTCCAGCTCAGTGGGGGACTCTCTGGGCATGGGGGCTGGCAGGCAGATGCGAGCTCTGGCCCCCCACCACCCGACATCCAACCCCACGCTGCTGCCGTTTGCCCAGGGTGACGTGGTGACCGTGCTGGTGCCCGAGCCCCGGAACGGCTGGCTTTACGGCCGGGCCGAGGGCAACCTGCGGTGAGCATGCGCCGTTGCGGTGACCCCCCCCCGGTTTGTTGCGATGAGACCCCCTCAGCATTGTCTCTGTCTCACAGACAGGGCTGGTTTCCAGCTGCCTACGTTGGGCCTTTAGAGGACACAGACAGATTATTTGGGTCCAGGTAAGAGCAGCGTGAGTCACAGTGAAATCAAAACACGACATGTAACACCATCCTGAATAAGGTGCCAGTAGCGTGTCAGTATGCCTTTAGCATGTAGGCCTTTATCCAGCGTGACAGTGTGCCTTTAGCATGTAGGCCTTTATCC